CGAACCCAACCCCCCCCCCCAAAAAAACGGGCCTGTTAAAGGGCGTCAGTCGTCGCTCGGCGTACTGTTCGATATGGGACTCATAGCGACGTACACAACGCGTGTAAAATACATTGTTTATTTACATGAAATTCGAACACGCGCTGCACGACGACCACCGCCCTTTAACTACAAATCGTTTAATCTATGACTTGAATGGATGACAATAATATCGTTCACGTTATCAATGTTTGATCTGTTGACACCAAACAATGCTGAAATCGACCAAAAAAAAAATCATTCCCTTGTCTTACAATTAAAACTGAAAAGAGAGGTTGCTTTTGGCCAATGAATTGGCATTGAAAAGTGTTCAAACTACCTCATTGCCCAATGCACTCGTTGATTAGCTGGTTGGATTGCCATTGAAATTTATAAAAATCAAGAAATGAGTTCGTAGTGTCGATTTTATCGAGAGATTTACTATATTCCAAACTACTGGCACACGATCAAACATCATTGTATAGACCCAGGCCACCTACGTCATTATTACGTCACCGAATTGCTATAAACTACATTGTATACATCCATCTACGTCATACTGACAGAAAGCGATGTATTGAATTTAATGGAAGATGTATTACACGGGCATAATACATGAATACATAGGACAATAAATCGTCAAAACAGTACTGTGGGACAACATTTGTAATATGCGGTATTTTAAGACCGCTGCCTGTCGCGTCTACGTACGCACATACACACGCACAACTCGTATAGATGTGTCTTTCTAAGGTAAATATATCCAAACCGCGCAATCACTAAAATACACAAAAACAACATAGATATCTGTCAAAATTGTTAATACATACTTCCTCGTCCGCATGAAGATCAAAAAACATGGATGCTCTTCCTTCGAATTCCTTATGACTTAAACGTATACCAGTCCCTATGCTGTATATATGGGCGCCCTCACCGGTACCTAGCAATTAAAGAATTAAGGATATTTTTAGATACTTGGTTACATTACACCGATACAACGTATATCAATATAAATAGAGTCATCGTTCAATTCATTAACACATTTACAAGTAGTTAATGGAATGGATGCAAAATAGATTTGTTTTCGAGTGTCAAATTTTATCTTAACATCAATATATCGACAGATGATCAGATATTCGTGTTGTATCAATAAACAACATTTACCGGCAGGCTCATATTTATCATCGGTAGGTAAAATACGTTGGTCAAGCCTATCAAGATTCCACACCACAGTCCTGTTCCTAGCGTTGAATGCTTCTATTCTGATCCCATCAAGTTCCATCAATCGTCGCTGTTTACGTAACTCTAGTCTTTGTTCAGCCGTCATTTCTGCTTCCAGCCTTTCTCTTCTCTCTCTTCTGGTTTCTCGCTTCTTGGGTGGCACTCCCTTCTTCCGGTCCTCGTCCAACAGCTCTTCTTGTAGTGCTTCCTTATTCCCATCGCCTTCGTCATCGTCAACTTCCACGGTGGCTTCAAGATCGTTGACGTCTTCGTCTGATGCGTACTCCAGTTGAAAAATTTGGTCTTCTTCAACAAAAGACACCTCTTTCAATTGCCGAATCTAGAATTCAGAAGCAGTTACAAGTATGACACTTGAAAGTATATCAGCACTGCTGTGTATATATTAGCATACATTAACACACTGTGTATATATTATAGCCGATATTAGCATACTGTGTATATATTAGCATACATTAACACACTGTGTATATATTATAGCCGATATTAGCATACTGTGTATAGATTAGCATATATTAGCATACTGTGCATATATTATAGCATACAATAGCATACTG